ATAAACGACTTTGAAAGTATGTTTCTTATCTAGATATGGAGGGATGTTCAAGCAACTAACTAAAGAAAAAAGAATAATAAGCTGACTACCTTCCCTTATAACAATAGCATGATTACGTATGTATGAAGTGTCATTCATTTAGACATTACAATCAACACAAGAAAACAGAACCAACAATTACTTTATTAGATATGTTTGAATTAAAGTTCAGCCATGCCACCAAAATAAAAATAGTCATATCAATGTGCAGAAATGAAAAAGTTCTCAAATGAAATTTGATGTATCTGTGAACTTTGATGTGCCTATGTAAGTGGTAAACATAACAGTATATTTAATTAATATATTTAACAGTATATTTAACAGTATGTAAGTGGTAAACATAACAGTATAATTTTTTAGTTTAGAAAAAAGCATAACAGTATATTTAATTAATTCTAAGAATATGGACCTAATGCATATAAACACAAATTGGCAGTAAGAATAGCTAACTAATTTGATATTAAAAGATAGAACAAACAATAGGTTAAGACCTTACAGATGTGAAATTGGCAATAGAGTAATACTTCGTATTAAACTATGACATGAACACGGGACAACTTCAAGTGTTTTACCAAACTCAAGTGAACATATATAACTTTTTTCAGGAAAATGGGTGAATGACGACTGCATGAAACTAATAGAGATTTGCAATTATAAACACTATATAACTTTTTCAGAAAAAATAAACTACTCAAAATTTTTCAGCTTCATGAATTTCAAAGTGGTCCTCGTATGCAATTATGTTATATTTTAGACGTAATAGCAACACCACACACCATTAAGATTATCTCCAAATCTTAACATAGAAAGATAACCCATGATTGCTCCCTAGAATATGAGCAATCGGAAGTCAGAACACAAAGCAACTTCGGGAAATACGTTTATTTGTAAATTATATTTCCAATCAAACTAAATCAAATCAAAGTTATGTAAAATAACACTTGAAACTCACAAAGGAAGAAAATAAACAATAAATGGATCTGTAAACTTACCTCCCTGCTCTCTATCACAGGCAGATCTGAAACTGCTCACCCTGACGATTTCCAGAGCTGTAATGAAAGAACCCCCAATCTGAAAGAAGAAAATAGATCCTACATGAAAGGGGATGCAATCGAGTATGGAAGTGAAAGTATAGGAAGAGAAAAGAAATAATGAAGAAAAGAAAGAATGAAGAAAATGAGTACATTTGTCCAAACCAAATGTCTATATATTATCGCAAATTATACCCTGCGACCGGCGCACCATGAGGATGGTGTGCCCGGTCGCAAAATGACACCGTTTCATATTAAAAATTGCAATTTTTTTAATTCCTTCTGCTACTTCACACTTCGTCTCTTTCGCCCCTTCATCTCTTTCACACGAACAATTTTGAGGAGTTCAACGGAGGCCATGGCTGGACCGTGCAACTGACAAAGAAGGCTGGGAATTCAAAGGAGATACCTGGGACCAATCCGGATCTAGCCATCTCGCGACGGGAGGGTTTCCATCAGAGATGCACGCAGGGCTTCAAAACGAGTGAAGAACCCTCGTGACCTGCCTTCCCAAGGATTCCGGCCAGTCTGCAATCACTTTGTGGCCAAAGGAGTTAAAGGCAGTCTCCATCAGAGAGCACCAGGGACATACTTTGAGTTGAATCCAGGCCTGCACGCCCTTCAATTCTGCGGCCAAACGAGTTATCTTCTCCAAGCCCCTGCCGCTGACCAAAAACTGAGGCAAATAAAATCACCTGCAATTAAATCCCAGCCCCTCACTAAAGAAGTTACATCTTTATTAAAAGGATTTACATTTCCATGTACCTCAAGTTACTTATCTATTAAAGTAAATTACATTTCAATTTTTTTGAATGAGTTACATTTTGCTTACACGTGATTTACATCTATCATAATACGAATTACATTTATTGAAGCACGAGTTACACCGACCTTTGCTGAGATTATAAAAAAAACCTTGGGAGCAGCATGCTCAAGGTGAGCCGCTCCCATGGTATACGAACTCATATATTATGAAGTAATAAGAGGAGCGATCCGAAATGTCTTCCCATTCAAGTTTGACTTTTTTGCGTTTACAGCCAACACCTATTTACGCTACATATATTATTACCCATTCAACAAAATTGGCTACATATTCAATATTCAAGAGTTCGACTTCTAAATGCAAAACATGTTAATTTCTTAGACAGATTGTATAAGAAAACTCACATGTACAAGTGTACAACTGATGTGTCTGAACAAATTAGTCAAAAATATGGTCTACGGCTCCTTTTATCCATATAATAGGGATTTGTTCAAATTTTACAAGCCGCAAATTTTTATGGTGAATTATATTAGGATGTGTTCAGCATATCCAGCAATATTTGAATACATTACCTATTAAATTACGGAGTACGTCTGGAGTGAATGCTAACCTTCGTTTGGAAGATCTTCTACTGCATTTTAGAACTCGCAAAATTAGTCAATCGTCACAAATTTCATTTTTCTTTTGTTTTTTCTTCTTTTATTTCAGGGGTTAATTGAATCATTATTGTCATTTGATTTGAATCTTATGGTAATCTGACCTTGTTTTGTATTTGTGAGTGATTTGACAAATTGCTACCAATGGAACCAATCCCCCTGTGGAGCCTTCACCTTTGAAAAAGGCCAAATATTTCCAAGTGGAACATCAGTACATCACCATATAATATATACGGAGTATAATCTATAAAAGAAGAAGAAAACATTAGAGGAGGCTAAAGAAGGCTAATAATAACACCTGAGATCCATTGAAATTATTGCATTACATTCTTGAAGCAACATTGCTGGGGCAGTTGTGACCATTTCTACCCCTTATCACTAATAGATCCATAGATAATGTTTTTCTCTCCTTGAAGTAATCAAATTTACTGATACTAATCAATTCCTTGAACATCATCCATATATCTATAACAGAAGGAAAACATTAGAGGAGGCTAGAGAAGCAAAAAAAACAGCAACTGAATTGCTCTACATTTCTCAAGGAAAAAGTATTAATGTGTCCTCATGTGTGTAGACATACCAGCTAATAATAAGCCTTTTTATCTCAGCCAAATGAGTAAGGGATTCAAAATCACGTGAGAATAAGTCCAGTCCACTGCAATCATTTTTTAGAAATTAAAAACAACTTAAAATCACAATTGCTGGTAGTCTAATAAAGAATAATGTAGCAATTCAATTCATTATTAACTAATAAGGGATAAGGGTCAGATAGGGCCTCGAACTTGAAAACAAATGTCAAGTAAGGCCATATTTAGGATGCTCTGTCCGGCCGACGCCATTTGGGGTGGTTCCTGGTGGAATTTTTTGATGAAATTTTTTGAGAATCTTATTCATTAAGTCTAGTTTACTCATATCAAATTTGAACTAACAATTCAATCGGGAAGGCATTCAAATGAATTCATGAAGATAACTGCGCTTTTAACGGTACAGTTATCTTCAAGAATTCATTTGAATGCCTTCCCGATTAAAGTTTTAGTTCAAATTTGATATGAGTAAACTAGACTTAATGAATAAGATTCTCAAAAAATTTCATAAAAAAATTCTACCGGGAACCTGACGTGCACTTTGTCGTGAGTGCACTCAAAGTAAATTCAATACAACACTTATACGTAGTATAGTGAAGTAGAGTTCGTATCCACAGGGAAAGGAATAACTTTCTTTTTATGAATATAGTAAATAAAGGGGGGTTTTGTTTGTTGAGTGATTTAATTAATTTAAACACGAAGATGAACGAGTTATATGGGATTAAATTCAAGAATAAAAGGGACTTGGTCTTGCTACTCTCCACTTGTTGATATATTTTAGTCGATCATTGTTATATCCATAACTTATCCCCTCTCGAATACTCAATCGCGGAGTATATCCAGTTCATCGAGGGTAGTTATTAACAACGACCGTTCATTAATAACCCTTACTATTAGTCAAATATAGAACAACGCCGTATACCGATATAATAGTAGCATTTAACCTCTTTAACTCCTTGATGAAATCAATTGAGATTGATAACCTCAACGCAACAGTTTCGGTTTAACCAACAAAATTAATCCCTCTTAAGTTTATTAACCACGACCGTGCATTAACAAACCGAAGTTACTTACTTGTGAAACTATCAACGATTAACCATCGGTTCGTTGATCGTTTCTAGTAATAATCAATGTTGGAACGTTAACTAATCGTCACATAGCAACCCTCCAACAATGATGTAGAATGAGATTAAGGGAAGAATTAATAATCAAGAAGAGAAAGTAAGAAAATAACTCACAACTTTAATAATCAATCAAGCTTCAAGAGCAAAACCAAGAAATGGAAGTTTAGCTCCTCATTTGGAGACTAAACATGCTAAAAGAAATATAGAGAAATGCTATTCTAAACTGAGCTTAAGAGTATATAGGAATTGGTAATCTAAAAGTGAAGGAAAGGAGGTGTATTTATAGGCTTTTTGAGGTGCAGGTCGAGTACTCGATCGAGTATGTACACATACTCGATCGAGTATGTGTAGATCTTCGAATTCGTTCCATACTCGATCTATACTCGGGTAATATTTATAGCTATACCCGATCGAGTATATAGGTGTACCCGATCGGGTATAGACACTTGATCGTGGGAAAATCTTCTCCTGCATGTTCCTTTGTTTTCGGATCTGATCCGATTTGAAATGTCAACCAGATACCCGATCGAGTATATGTATATACTCGACCGAGTATAGACCAAAATCAGGATTTCCTTTTTGTCTTGTGATTTTTGTACCTTCTGTCCACTTTTGGAGTCCACCAACTATCCTTTGAGTGCTTGTAGACCTGTTTGAGCCCAGAATAAACCTAATCTAAACTTTTTACAAGAATTTTAACAACTAAACTATTACACCAAAAGTGTGTAATTTCCGAAATGCTAAACTACAAAAAGTAACTAAAAATGCAAACATAAACATGGAAATTACACATGTATCAAACTCCCCCACACTTAGCTCTTTACTCGTCCTCGAGTAAAGTCAAATGTTTCAAATAGTTTAAGATCATTTCATGAGTTCAAGAAAGAAAGGAACTAAGACCACCAAGAAATAAGAGAATGATTTTACACACAACATTTTTCTCTTGGGTTTTATGATCTTCTATGCTCCATCTTCTTGCCTCTTCTTCTTTGCTTTCTCCTCTTTCTCCTAAAGAGATCAAATGAGTTCCTGCACACAACAAATACTTCTCTCATATCTCTCATTTTGCCTAGGAGCCTTTTCAGGTTTTCATCCTAGCATCTCTTTTTGTTTTTCCATCCTTTCCAAACTCACTCATTTTTTTATAAGCCATTTTTGCTTAGATTGCCCATTCTTGGGTTTTCAACCTAACTAGCATTTCAATTCTTTTATTTATCCTTTTTTTTTATTACAAAGAGTAAAAGAAATTCATGCGTAGTAAAGGGTAGAAAATGAAATTACATACCATGATTAGTCTCCTCCCCCACACCTAGATCAAGCACGGTCCCTAGTGCCCGCCTTCTCCGCCATAGAAGCCGCCTCCAAAGCCTCCTCCATAGCTCCCATCGCCCATGTGGGTATCGCCGCCGTCATCCCCGCCATCAAAACCTCCACCCCCGGAGCTAGATCCTCCAAAATTACCCCATTGAGTGGGGTCATACCAAGAGGGGGGTGGTGGTGGTTGAGCCATGGTGTGGAATTGGCCTTGATGAGCCATGTAAGAGTACATGGGTACATAGAACCTACGTTGATCCTCTTCATACCGTCGGTTGTCTTCGGCCCTTTGCTCTTCTAGTCTTTGAAATCCCGCCCTTTGTTCCTCCCGATACTTACCAACTTCATTGGTAACTCTGTCGAACCCGTCAAGTAATTGTTGGAAGTAATCGGGGGGTGGTGGGGCTTGGTTGTATTCGAGCATGGGGTGAGGTGCATCCTCGGGTTCTGGGTGCTCTTGTTGTTCTTGGTCGTGTTGATCTTCGGGGGGGTTTTGGGCGTCGGGTTCTTGGAGATGTGGTCGAAGGGCGTGAGGGAAAAGGTAGTGAGGCTCCTCGAACTCCGGTTTGTAGCGTAGTTTGGGGGTGTCCGGGTTTGGCATTAGGAAATATTGGTTAGGCTGTACGTGAATGACCCAATTGTACATGTTTTTGGGTTGGTCTCCAATATACACCGTATGGGAGAAAGATGTACATCCTGAGCGTCCTAACCAACCCATATCCATCAAGCAAAAGTCGGGTATAGGAGAGTTGTCCGTATACCCGAACTTACTTGCCAAGTGCATTATCACTCCCCCCACAACTATGGCCCCTTTTGCTAAGCTTTCTTTTTTCAAATGTGCCCACATGAGATTGCACAAATTAAAATCCACGTGACGACGGAATAAAGCCACGGACATTAAGCACACGTCCCCGATTCGAGTGTGATGGTTGTTGGGACGGCCAAGCAAGCAATTGGCTAAGAATTTCAAGAACAACCGGAGGACGGGGTGTTGGACATGACTAATGTACATTTGGGATGAACTAAATTTCACTTCCCCGGTCATCTTTGTCCATAGGGAGTGCCCAAAAATGGTGGTATCCGAGATGGTTCTCTCGTAAGGCACGGGGATGTCAAAGTGTTCGGCAAACTCAAGTTTTGTAATAGAATAATTTTGATTGAACAAACGAAACTTGAGCTTGTCATCCCTAAAGTCATCTTCATCACTCTCAAATTGCACCGAGCTTATGAATTCATATATAATTCTTTCATTCGAATTGTATTTCATTTTGAAGATACGATCCATACTCAACTCATGAAAGAACTTTTTCATCATCTTATAAACACCCAATTCATGGAGAGCATTATGGCATAGGAAACGGGAAGGTTTTACTTGCCTTTTAATCGTGGAGAGGAGTCTAGCCCGGTGCTCGTTATCGGCGGGAATTATGTCCTCAAAGCCGGGAATAGGTGCCATGGAGTTTGAACTTTCTCCCCTTTGCTTCCTTGGAGCCATTTGTGAAGCTTTGGAGCTCAAATTCGAATGAGGTAGGGTTTTTTATGGATTTGGTGGAAGTTTGGGGAAGATGGGATTTATGGGTATAGATATGGAGAGGAGAGTGAGGGGAGTATTTTGGTGGAGGAATGGGTTGATTTGGTGGAGAATGGGGAGAGATATGGTAGAGAGAAGGGTTAAAAATGGAGTTTGGGGGAAGGGTTGTTCGAAATTTGGGGAAGAGTTGGGGAAGATGAAGTGTTTTTGGGTATTTTTGGTGTTATATCCGCAGGGGTACCCGATCGAGTATCCCTGTATACCCGATCGGGTACCGGAGACAGGGATCAAGGGAGGCTAATTTCTGAGTATACTCGACCGAGTATGAACCGGTACTCGATCGAGTACTGGAGGCATGGATGAAATAAAGTGTTTTTTCCCTTTATACTCGACCGAGTATGAACCGGTACTCGATCGAGTACTGGAGGCAGGGATGAAATAAAGTGTTTTTTCCCTTTATACTCGACCGAGTATGAACCGGTACTCGATCGAGTACTGGAGACAGATATTTTTATCTTCTCATTTCAGCTCATACTCGACCGGGTACAGTAGTATACTCGATCGAGTATGCCTCTTTTTATCAAAAAAATTATGAAAATTCGATCGAGTACTGAACTCGAGTTCTTCTTTTTAGTAATACCCGCCCGAATATATATATATACTCGACCGGGTATATCCCCAGGTATCAATTTTACTCCCTTTTTTTTTTTTTAAAAAAAAAACTCACACACTCTACTTGATAAAATGATACAGAAAACATACCTTGCTTGGGTTGCCTCCCAAGAAGCGCTTTTTTTTAACGTCGTGGCTCGACGATATCTTCGTTTCTCCTTCATTCATAGACCGGTTCAGAAAGGTCTATGATCTCCACGTTCTTGGGTTGAAAACCCTCAAAGAAGGGTTTTAGTCTTTGTCCGTTCACTTTGAGAACTTCTCCCGTCTCCGGGTCTTCAATTTCCACCGCCCCGTGTGGATGGATTTTGACCACTTTGTATGGTCCGGCCCAACGGGATCTCAACTTTCCCGGAAATAGACGAAGGCGTGATTGGAATAGGAGGACTTTGTCATCAAGTTTGAAATCCTTCCTTATGATCATTTTATCATGCCACTCCTTCGTCTTTCTTTTGTAAATCTCCGCATTGTCATAAGAATCCAGGCGGAGCTCTTCCAATTCTTGTAATTGGAGCTTCCTGTGTATACCGGCCTCGTCAAGATTGAGGTTGAATTCTTTTACCGCCCAATATGACTTGTGTTCAAGCTCTACGGGAAGGTGACAAGCTTTTCCGAACACAAGTCTATAAGGTGACATACCGATTGGAGTTTTGTAGGCAGTTCGGTATGCCCATAGTGCGTCATCAATTCGCATACTCCAATCTTTCCTATTTGGGTTCACCGTTTTCTGGAGTATAGATTTTAACTCCTTATTTGAGGTCTCCGCTTGGCCATTAGTTTGAGGGTGGTAAGCGGTGGAGATCTTGTGAGTCACACCATATTTCTTCAGTAGGGATCCCACAATTTTATTACAAAAATGTGTGCCTCGATCGCTTATTAAAATTCGAGGGACCCCGAACCTTGAAAATATGTGAGACTTGAGAAAGTTCGCTACCACCTTGGCATCATCGGTTTTTGTTGCTTTTGCCTCCACCCATTTGGAGACGTAATCTACCGCAAGTAGGATGTAGATGTTACCTTGAGAGTTTGGAAAAGGCCCCATGAAGTCGATACCCCATGCATCAAAAATCTCACAGAAAAGCATGGGGTTTTGTGGCATTTCGTTCCTCCTTGAAATGTTGCCCGTTCTTTGGCAATTGTCACAAGCCCGACAAAAACCATTCGTATCACGAAAAAGACTTGGCCACCAAAATCCGCTTTCGAGAATTTTCATTGCCGTCTGTTTCAGGCCGAAATGTCTTCCACAAGCATAAGAATGGCAAAACTCTATAATGTGAGCTATCTCATATTCGGGGACACATCTTCGGATTATTTGATCCTTACCATGTTTCCACAAATATGGGTCATCCCACACATAGAGTCTTGAGTCCATTTTTAATTTTTCTTTTTGTGATTTTGAGAATTGTGGAGGAAATTTGCCGGAAACAAGAAAATTTACAATGTTGGCGTACCATGGTTGTGTAACTTTGATGGCGAAAAGGGTTTCGTCTGGGAATTCACCTTTGATGAGATTTGAGTGAAGGTCTTCAATGTCTTTGTGAGGATGAGGCGGCTTAAATGATCGGCCACCAAGTTCTCCGCTCCTTTCTTGTCTTTTATCTCCAAATCAAACTCACTCAATAGAAGGACCCATCGAATGAGTCTGGGATAAGGGTCAGATAGGGGCTCGAACTTAGAAAAAAATGTCAAATAAGGCCATATTTAGGATGCTATGTCCGGTTGACGCCATTTAGGGCGGTTCCCGGTGGAATTTTTTGATGAATTTTTTTGAGAATCTTATTCGTTAAATCTAGTTTACTCATATCAAATTTGAACTAACAATTCAATCGGGAAGGCATTCAAATGAATTCTTGAAGATAATTGCGCTTTTAACTGCACAGTTATCTTCAAGAATTCATTTGAATGCCTTCCCGATTGAAGTTTTACTTCAAATTTTATATGAGTAAACTAGACTTAATGAATAAGAATCTCAAAAAATTTCATCAAAAAATTCCATCGGGAACCGCCCCAAATGGCGTCGGCCGGACAGAGCATCCTAAATATGGCCTTATTTGACATTTTTTTTCAAGTTCGAGGCCCTATCTGACCCTTATCCCAATGAGTCTTGGTTTGGCCTCCTTCTTTGTCATGAGGAACCGTAGAGCGGCATGGTCGGTGTAAACAATAACTTTCGTTCCAAGAAGGTAGGAACGAAACTTCTCTAAGGCAAAGACTACTGCTAGCATTTCCTTCTCGGTGGTGGAGTAGTTCCTTTGAGCTTCATTTAAAGTCGAGGAGGCATAGTAGATTACATGAGAAGCCCTCCCGACTTTTTGGCCTAAAACAGCCCCCACAGCATAATCACTTGCGTCACACATGATCTCAAAAGGAAGAGACCAATCGGGAGCTTGTATGATAGGAGCGGTTACCAACCTTTCTTTCAATGTGTCAAAAGCCTCCTTGCATTCGGTATTGAGATCAAATTCCACCTCCTTTTGCAAGAGTTTGCATAGGGGAGATGAGATTTTGGAGAAGTCTTTGATGAACCTTCTATAGAATCCGGCATGTCCAAGGAAAGAGCGAATATCCCGTTTATTTGTTGGGTACGGGAGTGTTTGGATGACATCAATCTTGGCTTTGTCTACTTCAATGCCTTTTGAAGAGATCACATGTCCAAGAACAATCCCTTGTTCCACCATAAAGTGGCATTTTTCAGAATTTAGGACAAGGTTGGATTCAATACAACTTTTGAGCACCAGAGTAAGATGGTAGAGGCAGGTGTCAAAGGAGTCCCCATGAATTGTGAAATCATCCATAAAGACCTCCATGAATACCTCCACAAATTCGGAGAAGATGCTCATCATACACCTTTGAAAGGTGCCTGGTGCGTTGCATAATCCAAAGGGCATTCGTCGGTAGGCAAAAGTGCCAAATGGACATGTGAAGGTCGTTTTCTCTTGATCCTCCGGGGCTATTAATATTTGAAAATACCCGGAGTAACCATCAAGAAAACAATAGAACTTGTGCCCCGCTAGTCGTTCTAGCATTTGATCAATGAAGGGTAGTGGAAAAAAGTCTTTTCTAGTTACTGAATTGAGCCTTCGGTAGTCAATGCAAACTCGCCACCCGTTTTGGACTCGGGTGGGCACCATTTCGCCTTCTTTGTTTTCAATGACCGTCACTCCGGTCTTCTTTGGCACCACTTGTGTTGGGCTTACCCATTTGCTATCGGAAATGGGAAATATGATTCCCATTTGGAGTAACTTGATCACTTCTTTTTTTACCACCTCCATCATGGGTGGGTTCAATCTTCTTTGCGGTTGCCTCACCGCCTTGGCCTCATCTTCAAGTAGGATCCGGTGCATGCATGTGGATGGACTAATGCCTTTGATGTCGGCAATAGACCATCCAATGGCCAACTTGTACTCCTTGAGGACCGCAATCAATCTTTCCTCTTGTTCTTGGGCTAAGGCGTTTGAGATAATCACCGGTAGGGTGTGATTTTCGCCCAAGAACACATGCTTCAAATTTTCAAGAAGTGGTTTTAATTCCACCTCTGGTGCCTGCAAAACAGATGGTAGCGGCTTCTCGCTTGGAATGGTTAGTGGGAGGGCTTTAGAGCCCGGTGGCAAAAGTGGGAGTTGATTTAACTCTGCCACCATCATCGTTATTTTATTTGACATAGAGTATTCCAAAGTGAAATTCTCTACGTCGTTCTCAATTGAGCTTAGCAAATCGTCTCTCCCCTCAACTTCAAACACATCTTGGACCCAAGTGTCACAAGTGTCAATGGCAAAAAGAGAGTGATTATCGGTGGGGTATTTCATGGAGTCATAGATATTAAATTCAACTTTCTCACCATCAAACTCCATAGTTAATACTCCACTAAAAACATCTATTTTTGCCTTGGCCGTCTTTAAAAAGGGTCTTCCTAGCAAAATCGGGACTGCATTTTTATCGTTCTCCATTTCGAGAACGTAAAAATCAGCGGGAAAGATTAAATTATCCACCATGACGAGTACATCCTCTACTACACCTTTTGGGTAAGCATTGGATCTATCGGCAAGTTGGATAACAACCCCCGTTTCATGTAGAGGTCCTAGTTCTAGGGACTTATATAGAGAATATGGAATGACATTAATTGATGCACCCGAATCTAACATAGCCCTAGAAAAACTAGAATTTCCTAGTTTACATGGTATAGTGAACATTCCCGGGTCACTATACTTTTTAGGAAGTTTCTTTTGGAAAACGGCTGAAACTCTTTCACTAACTTGGATTTTATGCTTGCCATTTAATTTGTGTTTCCTTTTAATAGTGCAGAGTTCTTTTAAAAACTTAGCAAATCTAGGAACGCCTTTAATTAAGTTGAGAAGAGGGATATTTACCTCACATTTGCTGAAGGTCTCATAGATGTCCTTGTCATTGTTGTATTTGCGGTTGTCCTTGAGAGCCTCCGGAAAAGGTGGCACCGGCTCGTATGAATCGAGTGGTGGGAATTTCCTTTGAGGTGTGACCTCCTCTTTCTCTTCTTCATTTTGAGGATTTGGCACCAAGATATCCTCCTCTTCTTCTCCAACATGGCTTTTTGCTTTTGCTTTAGCCATAACCAATTCCTTGCCACTTCTCAAAGTGACCGCGTGGGCTTGTTGCCTTGGATTCGGCTCTGTTTGAGATGGGAGTTTTGCCGAATCCTTAGCTTCAAGCCTACTCACGGCATTCGAGATTTGGCTCATTTGATTTTCCAAGTTGTGGATGCTGGATTTTGTTGTTTCTTGGAATTGGGTCACACTTTGTTGCATCGTGGCCATGTTCATGGCCAGTGATCGAATCATGTCTTCAGTGGACATGCTCGAGTTTGATGTTTGCCCTTGTTGTTTATATTGTTGAGGGGGAGGGTTTGGTTGTTGAGGAGGTTGAGAGTTTCCGTACCTTAAGTTTGGGTGATCCCTCCACCCCGGATTGTAAGTGTTGCCGTGAGGATCATATCTTCTTTGACCTTGGAAACCCAAAGCATTGACTTGCTCGGGGTTCTCCTCTTGAAGTGTTGGGCAGGAATCGGTGGGATGCCCTTGTGTCGAGCATATGCCGCAGACCTTGACTTCTTGGGTTTTAGGATTCAAAAGAAAATCTTTAACCAAAGAAGTCAAGCCGGCCACTTGACTTTCCAATGAGTTGTTGGATTCCGCCGCCATAACTCTTTTTGATGATGACCTCCCATGGTAATGTCTCGAGTTTTCGGCCAACTCGGAGATGAGGTCCCTTGCTTGGGAAGGGGTCTTGTTAACAATACCCCCTCCGCATGCCGCATTTACCATGCGTCTATCTTGATCAACAAGCCCATCATAGAAGTAGAGGATGAGATCTTGTTCCGAATATCCATGATATGGGCAACTAGCGCATAGTTTTTTAAAGCGCTCCCAATATTCGTACAAGGTCTCATCATCCGCTTGCTCAATGTTGCTGATTTGCTTTTTGAGACTTGAAGAGATAGATGCGGGATAATACCTGTCGAGGAAGCTCTTTTTCATTTGAGCCCATGTGTTGATGCTACCCGAAGGAAGATAGAAGAGCCAATCCTTCGCGGTGTCTTTTAAGGAGAAAGGGAAAGCCCTTAACTTGATTTGTTCCTCGGACACGCCATTGGGGCACATGCTCGTGCACACAATATGGAATTCCGAGAGGTGTTTGTTCGGGTCTTCCCCCCGTAGGCCATGAAAAGAGGGAAGTAGATGAATGAGCCCAGATTTAAGCTCAAATGTGACCCCCGTGTCAAGAGTTGGAAAAGTGATACATAGGGGTTGTTGATTTAGATTCGGAGCTGTGAGCTCCCTCAATGTTCTTGTTTCATGAGCCATAGTGATTGGCTCTTCGGTCTCGCTAGATTGAGAACTAGCACTTGATGATTCTCCCGAGTCGGAGTTTGAGAATTTGTTTTTCAACCGCTCGAGAGTTTGTTCTATTTCGGGGTTTGAGTGGTATGTGATTTCGTTCAGTGAACGATATTTTACCATGTACTACAAAGCTCAGAAAAAATAGAAATTCATATATACTTATTTTTTTCTTTTTCTTTTTCTTAAAATAAAATAAAAAGAAAAATTAATTGCCTCTCCCCGGCAACGGCGCCAAATTTGACGTGCACTTTGTCGTGAGTGCACTCAAAGTAAATTCAATACAACACTTATACGTAGTATAGTGAAGTAGAGTTCGTATCCACAGGGAAAGGAATAACTTTCTTTTTATGAATATAGTAAATAAAGGGGGGTTTTGTTTGTTGAGTGATTTAATTAATTTAAACACGAAGATGAACGAGTTATATGGGATTAAATTCAAGAATAAAAGGGACCTGGTCTTGCTACTCTCCACTTGTTGATATATTTTAGTCGATCATTGTTATATCCATAACTTATCCCCTCTCGAATACTCAATCACGGAGTATATCCAGTTCATCGAGGGTAGTTATTAACAACGACCGTTCATTAATAACCCTTACTATTAGTCAAATATAGAACAACGCCGTATACCGATATAATAGTAGCATTTAACCTCTTTAACTCCTTGATGAAATCAATTGAGATTGATAACCTCAACGCAACGGTTTCGGTTTAACCAACAAAATTAATCCCTCTTAAGTTTATTAACCACGACCGTGCATTAACAAACCGAAGTTACTTACTTGTGAAACTATCAACGATTAATCATCGGTTCGTTGATCGTTTCTAGTAATAATCAATGTTGGAACGTTAACTAATCGTCACTTAGCAACCCTCCAACAATGAGAAAGTAAGAAAATAACTCACAACTTTAATAATCAATCAAGCTTCAAGAGCAAAACCAAGAAATGGAAGTTTAGCTCCTCATTTGGAGACTAAACATGCTAAAAGAAATATAGAGAAATGCTATTCTAAACTGAGCTTAAGAGTATATAGGAATTGGTAATCTAAAAGTGAAGGAAAGGAGGTGTATTTATAGGCTTTTTGAGGTGCAGGTCGAGTACTCGATCGAGTATGTACACGTACTCGATCGAGTATGTGTAGATCTTCGAATTCGTTCCATACTCGATCTATACTCGGGTAATATTTATAGCTATACCCGATCGAGTATATAGGTGTACCCGATCGGGTATAGACACTCGATCGTGGGAAAATCTTCTCCTGCATGTTCCTTTGTTTTCGGATCTGATCCGATTTGAAATGTCAACCAGATACCCGATCGAGTATATGTATATACTCGAGCGAGTATAGACCAAAATCAGGATTTCCTTTTTGTCTTGTGATTTTTGTACCTTCTGTCCACTTTTGGAGTCCACCAACTATCCTTTGAGTGCTTGTAGACCTGTTTGAGCCCAGAATAAACCTAATCTAAACTTTTTACAAGAATTTTAACAACTAAACTATTACACCAAAAGTGTGTAATTTCCGAAATGCTAAACTACAAAAAGTAACTAAAAATGCAAACATAAACATGGAAATTACACATGTATCAGAACCACCCCAAATGGTGCCGGCCGGACAGAGCATCCTAAATATGACCTTATTTGACATTTTTTTTCAAGTTCGAGACCCTATCTGACCCTTATCTCAACTAATAATTATATTTCTAATCAAACTAAATAATAAAAGTTTCTACTGAATCTTGTTCTACATTTTGAAGCTTAATGAGTCCTAGACTCCTAGTAAACTGAGGTGCTATAGGACAAAGTTTATACTTACCTTAGGAATATCACAAGTAAATCTGATTATTAGTATAGAAATATCTGAAAAGAGGATACTGGGATAGTTCTTAAGAGCAGCTAATTAGTAATTTTATATAAGAAGACATAAAAGTTGTTATCATTATTCTTAGTTAGTGTATTTTCTATCTACTTCATTCCTTCTTATTAAATTACCGAACTGCTCCCTATTAGACCACCAATAATGTGATCTTAAAAATGAGCAGATGTTGAAATCATCAAGCAGAGTCTGGCATGCTCTCTACTTCTTTAATAATATATGGTAGTAAAGTCATATTCATCAACACCACATGCCTAAATATTATACAATGTTTCTAAAGTCTAGACACCCGTACTTTAATCAATCTAGCCCAACAAACTATAGTTTTGAAGTCACCCTTACATCCTAAAAACTAATGAAATAAGGTGTGACATAGTGCAGTTCTATTTTTTAATTTGTACTTCTCTATAGTTTTTATGTGCACTTTTGTGATAAAATACAGTTATGTCCTAAAAGTACATGTTTTGGAAAAAATGTGTTTGAACTATTGACTTAGGTACCCATGTGGCCATACCCCTTAAGGGTGGAAGGTTAAATTTCAAACCCATTTAACCATTCTCCATACATCCAATTGCTTACATGTTACAACCATGTAATGTTAGTTTCAACTTTGATATTTTCCTTACAAATGGTGTTTCAAATAAATCAAATACATAAAATAATATTAGAACGATGAATTTTAAAATGATACTCCCTCCGTATTTTAAAGATTGCTACACTTCCCTTTTTGGGATGTATTTAAAAGTTTGCTACACTTTCTCTTTTTTGTAAGTTTTTCCTTTAAAAATACACAACTACCCTTACTTTTTCTACTTTTTATCTTCTCTTTCATACGCTTACACACTCTCTCCTACTTTTTCTACACCATTCATTACCCCTACTATTTCATTCTTAAATAATGTGCCCATGCTATTGTAGTGAACATATAAATACGGAGGGAGTATTAGAAATTTAGAATGATAGAAATAGAATAAGTTTCAAAATAAATGAGAATGATAGCATGAGGTAAAGATTTTTTTATCAAAGTACTGGTTTATAAAATCTCTAATATTAGAATGTTCCTTAAAATTTCGAATTACCTAATAATGGTAAAGAGATACCTAATATAATGTTAGAAGAAGAACTTGAACAGCTATTTAAATTTTAGAAGAGGAACTTGAAGAGATACCTAATACCTGTATTTGCTCTATGTCACAAGGTCAAAGCCTACACTTGCCCTTAGCTTTTCATCTAAATATCTTGTTGCTTCATTTGCATCACCTTGTATACGCAGAGCATTAATCAAAGAGGAATAAGTAATCACGGAAGGGGCAATCCCCTCTTTTAACATTCTGCCTTTCAATCCAAGGGCTTCCCTTGTATTACCATTTTTGCAGTGCCCCTCAATCAAAGTATTATAGGTTATAACATTGGGGGTTATGCCTTTTGAGCGCAGCTTATGAAAAAGTTTCAGTGCTCTATCAACATGTCCAGTTTTACAAAGTCCGTTGATGAGAGCATTATATATAGCAATGTTAGGAACAAGATCCTTTTTAAGCATTTCGTCTCGTAATGCGAAAGCCTCATCAACATTACCAGCTAATGATACACCATGTATCAAGGTACAATATGTAAACTCATCTGGTACAAAGCCTTTTTTTATCAAAGCAACAATCATTTCTCTTGCATCACTTATCCGACCAATTTTGCATAACCCTACCACAGCAAGATTATATAGAATGGTATTGGGCACGACAGAATATTTTGACCCCTCATCAATGGAATTTGCAATCTTTTGAACATCTAATGATATGAAGTGGGGAGTTGAAAAGTCATTAAGACATTTAAGTTTCAGACTATTATCAATGCTCAATACTTTTTGCAACAACATGAATGCATCATTAGTCATGCCATGTCTATATAAGCCACTAATAATTGTGCTGAATATGATCTCATTCGGAATCAGTCCCTTACTTGTCATCCCACAATATGAATCAAAAGCTTTGTCAAGCTTCCCTTCCTTAACCCATCCGCTAATAAGGGCACCGTACGTAACAACGTTGGGCAGTATTCCCCTTGTGTGCATTTCATTGATAAGATCTTCAACTTTATTCAACTTCCTAGCCAAAAAACATCCAGTAACCAGAGAATTGTACATTTCAATAGAAGGGAGGCTTCCTTGCTGTTCCATGACTTTCTTTACCCTCAAAGCTCTTTCGGTTTGTCCGTCTTTACAGTAACCTTCAATTAAGGCTCTATAAGTAATCACATCAAGTGAACAGCCAAACTCCTTCATTTTGTCAAGAAGCTCTTCTGCTTCAATCATTTTCCCCATCCTACACAGTCCTTGAACCATTGTATTGAAAAGAATTGTGTTTTTATTAAACCCTCTAGCCATAATGTGTTTATACAACACTGTAGCTGTTTCAAACTCATTGGCCTTAATAAGCCCAAGAAAAAGAGTACCACAACTAACCTCATCAAATGAAATACCTCTTTCAAGCATCATATGCCAGAGATCTAAAGCTTCACTGATAGCACCGGATTGACAAAAACCATTCAAGAGAGTATTGTATGTTACATGTGTTGGTTCAATACCAACTTGAATCATTTCCTCACATAGGTTCAATGCTTCACTTTTCAAACCACCCCTGCAATAACCATCTAATAAGGTATTATAGCTATAAGAATCTGGTCTCACACCCCATCCAACCATCGTCCTTATTATGTCTTTGGCTTTATGAAGTTGACCGAATTTGCAATAACCATTTATAAAAGAGTTGCAAATAAATAGGTTTATTTTCAAGCCTAAGTTTATCATCTCATCACGAAACCTGAGGGCTTCATCTAGTCTCCCGATTTGACAAAACCCATCTATTAATACACCATAGACCTGCTCATCCACAACTAGTGCATCGTTTTCTGGAACCTCCATTCCTCGGAATACTTTCTCTGCTTCCTCCATATTCCCCTGCCTGCAATGTCCCTTGATTAGCAATGTATATGTCAAAATGTTCTTGGATATTCCTCTTTCAATCATTAATCTCAAAGCTCTTTCAGCTCCCTTCAAATCACCCTTCTCAACATACCCATTGATCAAACAATGGTAAGTAGCTCTATTTGCATCTAAACCCATTGCATCTATTTTATGAATAAAGTCCTCAGCTCTTTCAACTCTACCATCCTTACAGTAGGCATTTACTATTGTTGTGCAAGTGTATATGTCCGGAGAAATTCCAATTCTAATAATCTGATCATAAACACACAATGCCGTATGATATTCACGTTTTCTCACCAAACAACTCAACAAACTATTACATGAGAGTAAGCTCGGCATACAGCCACTCATGGGCATATTATCGAACACATATAAAGCATTCTTAATTAACCCCTTCTTCGCATAAACTTTAAGAACCATATCAAAAACTGTCCGAGAAAATTTGAATTCTTTATGAACTCTAACTAACCGGTTCCAAACAAGCGACGTTGGTTCATTTTGACTGGAGAGTTCCACAAGCTCATCCAAGAGAAATCGTGTCTCCTCGAACATTCTAGCTTTAGACAATATGTGAACGATTATGCAATAAGCTGTGAAATGGGGTCTGTAGTACTGCTGCTTCGAGGCTAGTTTAAAGAAATAGTGGGAAGCTTCCGGGTTGAACTTGAGTTTCCTGAGAACGGCCTCAACGAGGGAGTTGGAAAAATCAAATTTGAGGCTGTCCAGGGCGTCATAGCGCCGGAGAATTAACAGGCGACAAATCTGGTCGAGGAGCTCGAATTGAGTCAGTTGGGGCTTAAGTCGGAGCAGTCGACTGTTAATAGATGCTGTATGAATGGCGGCCATCTGCTGCTCAATTGGAGAGGGAAGAAGAAGAAGAATGAGCAGACGATTGGAGGGAGGCATAACGTTATTTGCTGTGATTCATCTCCTCCATAGACTCTCTCTCCATCAATTTGAGCTTCAGCAGTTCAGCCTGAGCCTTGCTCGGTGTGACGACGGACGAGCATTCCATGAACGCTGCAGAGGAGTTCAGAACAGTTAAAATCCCGCCCCTTAACCGCCCCATTACCTAATTTTTATTCAAACCAATAACCGCCCCAACGGGTAACAGGTATAACCGCGGGTAACCACGAGTAATCGGTTTGTAAAATGAGTCATTAATATTTTAATATAAAAATAATTTTTAAAAGACAAAAATGACATCACATAGACAACTTTAGATTCATACTCCACTTTAAAGTTTCGTATATCTACTACAAGACTAGAAAGAAGGCAACCTAAATTAATTTGAACCTAAAAATACTTAATATGAAAAATGTTAATCACAAAAAAATTCTGATAATAATCAAACAAGACTATTAAGAGCTATTATGAACTTTCATTCACACTATAGTTAGTCATCAATTATCCATATATACACAATGAAAATAGAAAAATCTTATCTTTAAGTAGTTGTGGAACAAATAATAGATACAAATGTAATAAAAATATAGCAAAAGAAACGGGGCGGGTAATTGGGCGGACATGTATAAAACTGTAACCGCCCCGTTACCCGTAAAATCAAAACGGGTATTCCCCGCCCCATACTCGTTACCCAGTCAATGCGGTTTTCCCTGTTTTGACCGAGGCGGTTCGGTGCGGGTATCCATCGGATCAGTCACAATTGCCATCTCTAATTGGTGCTTTGTTCTTTCGAGGGTGGGTAGGCAAAGGGATTGGTGCTTTGTTCTTTCGAGGGTGGGTAGGCAAAGGGGTGTTTGGTAAATGGCGTTTTCGATGAAAGAAAACGTTGTTTGGTAAATAGCAGTTCAGCACTAGCGTTTTTGGACGGAACCATACAGGAGAGTTCTGGGTTAGCGTTTTGAAAAATGACGTTTTGTATTAATTTTATGGTCAAACAGCTAAATTACCAAACACCTTCTGAAAATCCGCCAATTTTATTCCGCTGGTCAAACCCGCTGATTGAATCCGCTATTAACAACCCGCTAACATAATCCGCTATCCGGTAACCGCTAAATGTCAAACACGCCCAAAATCTAAAACCTAAAACATACGGAGTAAAAGGTTAAAACCGAACCACCAGCAAAACAAAACAAATCAAACCATAAGAAAATCAAAATCAAACTCAAAATATCGACTCATAATCTAGTTGTTTAGTTTTTGTTCGATTTTCACATCTAGAAATCAAATCGTACCGAAAAATCAAACTTTTTAAAATATACTTCATCTAAGAGAAAGGCGACTAGGAATTTCTCTCTCTAGGGTTGCCTCACACAACGCATAGTTTTTCGCCCCGTCGAAGGGCGTGTTGGATTGGTCATCTCGGGCGGCGGTTGGATTCAAGCAAAGGACTAGAGGATTGGCGGGTAAGGGCGGCTGGTTTGGATATTTATTTAGGGCGATTGGAGGGATAGGCAGGCAGCGGTTTCAATGAGCAGTCTTGGAGGTCAGACACGGTGCAGAGCCTGTTCGTGTTATCGGGGCAGTGGGGCAGCTCGGTGCGGCGGCGGAGCAATAGGTGGTGAGTATGGAAAACTTTGTTGATAAGTACTGATAAGTCCGTATTTAGACACGCATTTGATGCGTGTTGGAGTTGGATTTTGATGGTTTTCCCAGCTTTAAGGTGTTGCAAGTCTCAATTTTAGCTCAAGTTATGTTTACCGGGCGTTGGTTCGAGTTTTGTGTTGTTTGTAGTCAAAATCAGGGAATTTGAATCCGGCACCGGCACTTGAGGAACAATCGGGATGATTTGAGAAGCATTTAAGAATGATTTGATAGCTTTGGAGGTCACCGGAAGATTCACAATGAAGATTTGAAGGAAAAAGAGCTCTAGGACTGGCTTCGGGATAAAAAAGAAGACGAATAGAGCTTGAAAACGACGATCAGGATGACCTTCTGTCAATCGTTCAATCATATCTCTTTGTAGAAACAACCAATGGACACGATTCAAGTTTCATAGGAAAGCCAACTTCAAGGGCTACAAATCATATAAATACACCTTTGCGAGAATCGGAGAGGAAGAAGGTGAAAACAGACGATGAAGTCAGATGATCTCTGCTGCGATTTCAGAAAGACACCTTCCACCGTTTTGATCATATCTCTTGATTGGATGATTCAAATCACATTCGGCAAATTGAAGTGGATAGAGGACTTCATTATCTACAACTTTCATGAAGGAAGTTTTGTCAAATTCGGAAGTTAAGTAGGCACGATCGTGCCCTCAAAGTCAGACACGATCGTGCCTGAAGAGAAAAGCACCGCGGAGCTACTGCCAGCCAGGCACGATCGTGCCTGGAGGGAGGCACGATCGTGCCTGCCCAAAATGCGCGTTTTTGCTCCGGAGGCACGATCGAAGGCACGATCGTGCCTGGCATCGTGTCTGGCTCCGAAAATCCTAATTCAGCTCAAATTTCACCCGATTTTTCTATTTAAACAGCCTGTAAACCCCCGTTTTCAGGGGGGAGCTTAGAGAGAGTCCCTAGCACGAATTTTAGAGGGCTTTTCAGCCTTGTTCATCAATCTTTTGGGATTCTTTGTAAGTTCCACCTTTTTAATTAATGACAATTAATTCTTTTTATTCCAATCCTATTGATTCTTCAATTATGAATTGTGAGTAGTTTTAATTAGGGATTTGGGATTGATGAAGGGGTTAATCATGATGTATGGCTAGATTCTTTTCGGTTTAATTGCATGAATGCCGTTTAATTTGTGTTTGAATAATTTAATTGATATCTTTTGTAACCTAGAATCGCAGCTAGAATTACAATTGCATGTAGAATAAATTAAGAGAGATCTAATTTGTTCTAGGACACATTCACACACACTTAATCGTTCGCTAAGAGATTAGTAGCGATTAAGGGGCCGTAAGCTCGTTCGTCTTGGCAATAATTTAGGATCCTGTCGCATGAGAGATCAGCCTGGTCCCCTAAATTATTGTACTCTACGCCGCGAGAGCAGTAAGAACTTAGTAATGATTAACTAGGCTCAATTAAATTAATTTCATGTGATTAGGCCTGATCTGCCAGAAATCTGGTTAATCCCGGAATCAATCCCTGTTCCCTTCGTCGTTAATTAGAAAGAACCCCCTAGCTTAATTGTTCGTATTAGTTTTATTTTCCAAACCAACCAATCTCGCACGACGCTTTTATTTTATTTTCTTTTTCATCGCTGAATTTAATTAATTCTTGATTCCCTTTTGTCCGTCCCTGTGGAGACGATACTCGTACTTACACCACTATATTACAATCTTTTTAAGTGCGAGAAAACTCACATCAGTTTTTGGCGCCGTTGCCGGGGACGGTGTCGGTTTTAAGGGTTAATAATTTCAGCGAGAATTTTTTTTTTAGTTAGTTTTCTTTTAGTTTTTTCGTAGGATTTTTTCTGTGCTAACCTTTCAGGTAATTTCTAAGAGGCATGAGATGAACTCATTCAACCAAATTCCTGGAGGAAGTCCTTTTCCCCAAACCTCCATGGAATTTTCACCATATACGCCATACCCTCCTTACACTCCTCCTCAATATTACACACCTCATCAAAATTACTCTCCTACGCCACAAAATATTCAGCCTTCTTATCCGTACACTCCAACCACACAACCCTTTCATTCTGATTTTTACTATCCTTCATCACATTACCATTGGGTAAGCGTAAGACGAGGCTCCATTCTTGAATTTATGCTTCTAAATAAAACGCCTGAGGAAATATCTAAATGTTTTAAAGGTAGCATTTGTTCCTTTTGTGGAGGAGGTCACCATTTATGTCTTTGCCCCATCAAACCTCTATATGACCATCCTTTTCGGGAAACTGCTTACCCCACTTCTTCCTCCCCACAATTTACGAACACAAATGTTTCAGTCACTCCTACATACTTCCCGAGTAATGAGCCTCATAATCAACAAGAGGATCTGGAGGAGGCAGATTTAAAGAGACATTCTAGCTTGGAAGAATCACTCAAACAATTAGGGCAAATTCAGCATAGAGCGGACTCAAGGATGCAGAACATGGAGAATCAATTGGGGCAGATTGCAAAGGCTTTATCTGAGGAGTCCGAGAGATCCCATCCTAGCGACACAGAAGCCCAACCTGAGGAGACCAATAGGGATGATCATATGAGTGAGTCGGACTGCGAAGGTGGGAATATGATGGATGATACACTTCCTGATGCTTTTGAAGACCCTCCTATGTTTGAAGATGAAGAAGAAGATAATAGTGTCAAGTTGTTTTTCCAAGAATACAGGAAAAAGTTCGAAACGGTACAAGCTGTAACTGATGAAGTCACAAATCATTGAGATTTTCATACAGAAACTCCCCAGCCGTTTGATTTACCATTAGTCTCAACACCTGATGAGGGAAAGGAGCAGATCAGTCATGATGATGGAGCTACTGAGGTAGGTTTGGGTATTGAAGATGAGTTGGGAAAAGATGATTACATGCTCCAAGAGAGTGGGGGCGAGGTAGATGATGTCCGTAATGAAGAAGTCCCGCTCCACAAGCAAGATTACCCTTCTTGTACACCTGTACCGATCCACTCTTACGTGGTTTCAGATTTGGATTTCTTTGATTCACTACTTGATGATATTCCTTTTTGTACGAAGAGTGACAACATCATCCAAGAAGACCCTGATGAGAACGATGTTAACGAGAGTTGGGATGCCTTCATGGGGAGTGATACAGAGTCCGGAGGAGAGGTTGTGAATGTAGATGATATTTGTGAGGAAGAAGAAGACTTTTCTATGTTGCAGTTTGATTACGGTGTTGCTCCTACTCCTTGCTTGGAGACATGTTTTGAGCTTCCGGTGATGCCTAGAGTAATCAAAGTTTTCACTCATGTTCCCTATCCACCTGAAGAGGATGAGAGTTTCATACTTCACTTCTGTGCTGATGAGGGTTATGAAGACCATATGCTACCTTCGTGGACTGAAGAATTTAAGAATTTGCGCCATCTAATGGCATTTGTTGAGAGGAAGCTGGAGATGTTGACTATTAGTGCACCACTGATGTCTGTGCTATTTGAGAGCCTATGAGGAAGTTGCGTCGGGCAAACGACGTTAAAAATAGCGCTT